TGGGCAGCCCAAAAGCAGGGCAGGTTTTCAGTGTTGAACAAGTCATGGTGGGTGGGAAGGAGCTCGTGGGCTTCAGCACAGCTGCTCCCTGGCGCAGGGAGGGAGAGCGGAGCCAGCGGAAAGGTGCAGAGAGGATCAGCTGGAAGGCAGTAAGGGGCAGAAGTTTCCAGTGGCCCCGATTTTGTGGAGTTTTCCTGGTGCAAATGAACCCATCGGGTTACTGAGCACACAAAAGGCAGCAGACTCCCACGGGATGTTTTATTCCCCTTGCGCCTCGTCTTGCAGGTTTGTATAACAGTCATAATTGAGTTGGACAACACGAGGCTCATGGATGCACTGATGTTCGGAGCAGGCTCTTGTTTGGCAGCCTCAAGGAGAAGGAAGTAACAACAAGCAAGGCCTGATGTGATGGTTAAGGATAGCATATGCCGTGCTGTGATAAAAATAATAATGAGAATTGCCAGACTGAGAGGGGAAAGACCCAGTGCAGGAGCTTGAGAGCAGTACAGGGGACATGCACGAAGGGCAGCAGGCAGGGAGGAGGTGCTACAGGGTGTGTGGTACCGTCTGGCTGGGTCATGTAAAATATACTGTAAAGTAAATGGAGTCCCCTAATTCTCCTCTGCTTTTGCAGGACTGCAGCAAGCAATTTTAAACAGGCAAATGCCACCAGACAACCTGGAACCTCTGTTTGTCCCACGAATGTCCTACACTGGGTTTGCCGTGGAAGGCTGCACGCTGGAAGACTCGGATGTCTCTGATCCCCCCCCTCCGTACTCGGATTTCAGCGCAGCCGGTCAGGAAAGTCCTGCTGGCCACGGCGTCCTGGAGAGCAACGTGTTCATGCCCCGACCGCAAGCAGTAGGTTCCTCCAGTTACGTTTCAACAACGGCAGGATTGAAATATTCTGGAAACGGAGCGTCCCTGTCGTCTTCCCAAAGAGCAGTTGGTGACAATGTTGACGAATCAGAAGACAGTGATTATGAAAACTTGCTTGAACCCACAGAGTCATCTGACAGTGAATACTCACAGACAAGAGATTCACGGCCTTCGACACAGCCCGACGGCGATGCCAGGAACACTCAAACCTCTCAGATTTAACAGAAGAAACAACATTAAAAACACTTTTTTTCATAATTGTTACAGAAAGATTTTGGGGATTTAACCTGGAGGAAACGAACTACACAGGATTACTGTGCACACAGAACGTTAGAAGACTTGCACTAGAGGGTTTATTCACCTTGTGATACATTTTGCAAGTTTTGTAATGGAATCATTAGGATAATCAAGTTGTACTAATACTGATGAGGTTCATGGATGTACCGGTAAATTTAGGCAAAATGAAATTTATAGAGATCTTGTAGCTTTTGTTGCCGTATCTTCTTTAAGACAATAAATCGGGATGTAGTGACTAAGCACAGTTAGTGTACAAATAATGTTCTCAAATCAAAACTTACCTCTTGCACTATCATGCCTTGAATTTTAATTTTTGAAAGGGAAAATATATCGGCCGCCTTCAAAACAGCTTTTCCGTGGTGAGCCAACCTTTGCAGGAGAAGGAGACGTTGGCAATGGGGAGAAGCCTGCCCGGAGCCAGCGTGGGCTCCCCCTTCCAGCAGGCCCTCCCCAGAGCAGGGCTTGGTTCACGTTTTTTACTAGCAGAATGTGTGTTTCACTTAAATGATGGTGGCCTTTTTCTATAAAGGGTTCGGGGGGTGGTGAATCATCCAAATGAATGTCACAAGTCTAATTTTTTTGGTTTTGCTGGGTTTACAATGACTTTATGCCACACTAGCCTCATTTATTGTCTTTTTTATATACAAATATGAAGTGCACATATAGAAGTAAATGTTTGACAAAAGTAGTAAATTCCAGCACGAATAGATTTTGAAATCTGCAAATTACCAACATCAGAGACTTGCTTCTCTTTTATTTGCACCTGAATATTGGATTTACACTTCTATATGGGTTATTTTATGTAATGCATAGGGGATAGGGTAGGAGATTGCTCAGAGGCTCCCCTGGGTGTGTTACCTCTTTTCCTCTGGGTGAAATGTGTAAAGGATTATTTCAATTTGAATTACAGCTCTCGTCAGAAAATTGCCGCTTTGGATAAATGAAGTGTGGTATCTTTAGAGAATTTCATGTTTGGATGCACTTACTTTTATTTAATTACCGCTTGTATACTAACGTTGCCCAAAATATGTGAAATGGTGCCACTAAAGAGGTTGTATTATTGGACTTTATCCCTGCTGTGTAAATGAGAAAATCCGCAGTTTAAGATAACCTCATCCGAAGCATTTGTCGCTGGGAGGTGTGACTATTTCTCTGGTTTATACCTGGAAGAACAAAGCAGATGCTTCAAGGTTTAAACATCTCACATCTACAACAGGCTAAACTGTCAGTATGTATTGTATACGTAGGCCAAATCTGTTCATCAGCCTCTCTTTACCTGTACTAAATTAAACAAAATGGCTTGGGAAGAAGCGAGGTGTGAAAAACGCCGCTCTTGGGTCGCGTGTTGGAGCCTTTGAGCCCTCGGGGTCTGTCTGAACCGCGACGCTGCTCTCGGTGGCCTTAACCCCACGCGCGCGGGCTCGGAGCGGGGAAGGTGGCAGCTGCACTTCCCTTTCCCACAGAAACCTGCCAGATGTACAGCTCGGACAAAGCAGTTACATGTGACAATAAAATCTTATTTAATCCTCTAATTTATATCTTAATGCTTGTCAGGTTCCACGTCAGCGCAGTCGTACGCTAGAATAGAGAAACACAGCTCGGACATGGAGAATTTGTTGAGGGCAGTTTGGTTAGGGCAAGAATGGGTTGGATTGGAGGTGATGGGGCCCCAAATGTGCATCCTGTGCACGAGTCCTGGCCACAGGCCCCTCTGCTGCCTGGATTCTTCAGTTCTGCAACCTTCATAGCAGAAATGCCCAAGTTCTGCATATTTTTACATAAAACGTAGCCCATGGGAGGCAGAAGAGGATCCGATCATGCCAGGACATATCTGCAGGTACTTTCCTTTACCCTGCTTGTGAGAAAAAGGTGTTTTTTATCAGAAAATACTCTGCTAAGACAGCACCTCCGTGAGCTTTGCAGATACTGTTATTCATGGTAACAGTGTTGGGCCCAAGGCAGCAGCTCCAGATTTAACCATAAGGGAAAGGGCTGCTTCGAGCCTGGGACGCATCAGGGCTCCCTGAATCGGGACCAACTTTGGGTAACGCTCAGGAGCACAAAACCAGCAGAAACTGCAGCAGCAGCGTCAGCTCATTAACAGGTAGGCAGCAAACGCTGGACACGTGTGTCCCTGCCCCGGGGCTGGAAATCTAGGAGTTTCTGTGATATGAGCACATTTCTTCTGTTTTACTTAAGTGAGAAACTTAAAATTGCTGTTTCTTTCATTGTAAAGTTTGTTTTGAAGTCGGCTCCTCCCTAATTGATTATAGCTGGAAAACCAGGACCATGACGTATGGGAGAACCTCCCTGGTTAGAACACACGCTTGCAAAAAGGCAGCACCGAACGTTTCTGGAATTGGAATGGCAGTGGGGGAAGCTCCGCATCCCGTTTGCTCCTGAATGCTCCTGGCGGCAGGAGGGGAGGTGGGAGCTTCCCCAGCTTGGAAACACTCCGGATTTTGGGGGTTTGGAGTCGTTCCTGGGGGGTGTCTTGCAACTCTTCCCATTGGAGGCACCTGCTTGTTCAAGGGCTTCCTTTGGTGATTCTTAGTAGTGAGAAGCTGTTACTACCTCACGCACAATCAGATAAACAAGATTAGGTTTCCTGTTAAGCGAAAAGCTACTTAAGACCATACTTAATAAGGTAAGGAGTGTCAGATCACTTTGGTTTGTATTCTGTCACTTAGCACCTCCTTCTTGGGCCTCGGCTGTGTTAGAGAAGTCGGTACCAGCTGCAACCGCGTGAACTGCAGCATCTTCCCACGTGTCCTCCCCACCACGGGCCTTCCCGGCCTTCCCCCTGTCCCTGCCCCGTGAGGAGCCTTGGGGTCTAATGCCCCGAACCTGGGGAATTTGTGTTCACAAAAGACACATTTGCTGGCAGACTGCAAGTCTTTGCCCTAATTTCTTTTACTGCTTCTTTTATGCTTTTTTTTTTCCCCTGTGTTTCTGGTTATTCTGAGTTAACAGTTTGGTCCAAAAGCCTTAGGTGTTTTAAAGGAAAGATGTGCAGAGTTTAATAGGCAGCTGCTGTGTGGCTACAATGTCTGGGAATGGCCAACGTCTTCCCGGGTAGGAGTCTTCATGGCACCTTGGTGCTTGTGTGAATTCCCTCCGGGTGAAGCGTGGGCAGCTTCCAGCCTTCGTTCTCCCGATCCCCCGGTGCTCTGTGCATGGAGCATCCCTCGAAACGGCTCTGCTCCAAGTTATCTGAGCTCCTGGAGACGCAACGCGGCCTCCTCACAGACCTCCTCGCGTCGCCCTGGCTCTGCCTTGGTGGCCCTGGGGCTGCCCCTTGCCCGGGGGTTATTGCCCGGCTTTCCCAGCACCCGGAGCGGGGCAGCGGGGCTGGAATGGGGCAAACAGGGAAGCTTTGACAAACGTGGAAACTCGGCCGCGACGCTCGGATGCTATGGAGCTGGGAAGGGCGACGACGCGTCCCGAGCACGAGGCGCTTCGCAGCACGGGGGGCAGTTTCCCCGG